TCGGGCTCCTTGCCCATCTGTTTGCAGCTTTCAGATTTCATGTCTCACTTCCTCCATTTCAGTTTGATCATGTTAATCTTATTTTGTGCCTCGATGCATTGAATTGAGACTACTCCCATTTTTTTTTCCCCCAAAACCCAAGCACCTCATTCAGGAAGTGGCCTGCATGGAGTTCTGTTTCAGCTTTTCTTAGACTAGCATTCCAACTCTTTGTTCAGAGTCTGCCCTTCTCTTGCCTGATTTCTGTCCTACTGCGTGGTAGCAGCGCACTGATGTCAGCTTTCTCGAATAAGGGGGAGGCTCTCATTCTCTCTCCACACTGATAGTTTTCCCATCTCACTTTCTTGTTCCACTCTTCATCATTATGTCTTCAATTTGTCAATGACTTTTTTGTCTTCAAACACTCGCGTATTTCAATGCTTGTCAAGGGCAGGACTGATCCATCTCTTTTTATGTGGTAAAACCAAATCCATCATCGTCACTGAAGGTAGGCATCCCTCGGCTGGTCTTTATCTACTTCCGTTATTGCTTTCAGAGAGTTGCCTACAACTAGTTAGGTGCCTGTATTCTAGAATCAGACTGCATGGATTCACGTCCCGGCTCCATGACATGAGTGAGGTTTGGCAATTTATTTAAGCTCACTGAGTCTCAGTTTTACAGTCTGTAAAATGGCGATGATATTCACCTATAGCTTATTGTGATGCTCACATGAGATAATTGGATGGAAATCACTTTAAACAGGGCTACTTATCATTGTTTTCTCCCCTATGTTACACTGATATATGTAACTTTGGAATAAGGGGAAGTACTGGGAGCTTTTATTACTAATGCTTGACTACTGCCATTTCACGGAGCCTCTAGGTAGCACAAATGGTTAAGTGCTTGGCAATTGACTAAAAGATTGGCAGTTCGACCCCACTCAGAGGTGCCTCAGAAGGAAGGCCTGGCATTCTGCTCCTGGAAAGTCACAGCCTTGAAAACCCTCTGGAGCGTAGTTCGATTCTGCACACGTGGGCTTGCCATGAGTTGGAATTCACTCTGACGGCAACTGGTCACCGTCACTTCACCTGAACTAGGGAAACTTGTTTTTCTGGGTGAAGAAATGTTTCCCTGTGTGAAAGTTTCACAACCACAGTCAAACAGGCCCATGAGCCCTGCCATTTACACTGACTCCTCTCCTCTTTCTATGACATTCGTGTCTACACCCCAGGCATGAGGACACCAAGTCAGCTCCTGAAACCCCACAGGATAACCCCTGAGACCTCCCCAAACCTCATGTTGCCGTGATCACACGGCTATGGATGGCCAGAATGTCATAGGGACACTCTTTGGATTTCGTACCCTATGGTGGCATTATCCTTCCTTCCTTGTGACTGCAACTGAGTTTTGAAGAGGTAAGTGAATGAGAGGGAGGGGCAGTGTGTCACAGATCCAGTGTTTAACATGGTCAGCTGAGAATGGCAAGATGAACCTTCTTAAACTTTCCAAAACCAGACCAGGGGCATAAGCCTGTGGAGTTCAGGATGGTCTTAAACCATTTTTAAAAATGGCCATGGAAATGAGAGGTTATCAGAATAAGAATTAATGAATTCCACAAGAACTAGGGCTGAGCTGTTTATTTAGAAAGGGGAAAGGCTTCCCAAGTAGAGGATTTCTGTGAATATGAGCCTGAAATGAAAAGAAAGGGGGCATCACTCAGTATGAATGCATTTGTCAGAAAAGCATACCAGCAACAAACTTACCCCTGTGGTCCCTAATCATAGGCCTCTCCGTCACTGTCCAATTAGAGCACCTTCAGGGTATCTTTAACAGCTTTTTGGTAACATATTAACCATATGGAAAAGTTTTGATTTGGCCATAAAGTGCTAGGAGTGCGGTGGCTTTCTAGGATTAATGGATAACACTTGTTTATTTGATTTACTTTAAAAAAAAATCATTCTAAAATCTCTTTATGTGTCTGTCCTCTCCGGGGTGAACTCTGCAGTAGTTCAGCAGATTGTTGACTATGTTTTCTTTTTTTATTTCTTCTTCTTCTTTTTTTTTTTTTCCTTGCTCAGTGCCCAACCCAAGTTCAAAGGCTGATGAGAGAGAAAAACTCATGAGGCGTTTTTACTCCAGGGATATTGTTCAGTGGACGGATCTGGGCGCTCAGGGAAAGATGTCAGCCTCTTTCTGGCACCTTCTCAGCCTTGTTGCAGCAGCTGCTGCTCAGGCCACCACTGAAGATTTGGCCGGGACCTTTCTGGAGAAGTTTAACCAAGAAGCCGAAAACCTGTCTTATCAAAGTTCACTTGCTTCTTGGGATTATAACACCAATATTACCGACGAGAATGCTCAAAAGATGGTAAGTTTCTATCATGCCATAGGGGTATTTGCTGCTTTCTAAAGAGTAGGTTACTACTCATGAAATTGAAGAGAGAAATCAGATCAATGTTCTCAGCGATGCAGGTGGATGTTTGCTTCCGTATCTTTGATTCTGGAGTGCCAGATGATTGAACTTAATTGACTTTGGGGTTCATTTGGAAAATTCTTACAAACAAATTCATTGGTTTCAGTCTCAATTCTTGGAAATCAGTGACCCTGCTTTATAGAGTCACTGCCATAATTCTTATCATCGTCAGGGATTCAAACATTACATGGGAATGCCATCAGTTAATGAATTAATTTCCCCGAGCCTTCAATACCAACAGGAATATCCAAAGACTCTCTCCAAATGATCCATTAACTGCCAAATGCAGCTGGAGGCTCTTAGTGGAATAGCTGCTACTAAGTAAGCTAACCCCAAGTCGAGCGAAGCTGGACTGGTGACTGCTTTCCCTCATTGTCATGGAGCTCTGAGAGACTTCCAAAGGTCACAGACTCCATCCAGAGCCCTCCAAGAGCAGCTATAATTAAACGAGTTCTGACAAATATCAGTATGCCCTGGGAAAGCAAGATGCCTTGTTGGACAAGTGCAAGGATGTAAGAATTTTTTTTTTTTTCTCACACACCCCACAGCAGTCTCCTTACACATTTCAGTGATGGAGATTTGAGCAACATAATTTAAGACAATGCTTTTGTGGCACTTGCCCAGTAATGCATTCTTACAAAAGTATTGTTCAGGAGCTTATTTAGTTATTGTTTTGCAAACAATTAGTGGGCTACATGCATAAACTCAATTATTGCCACTCACTGCACAGATCAAATCTGAGACCTACTACCTCGTTTGAAATCCCAAAAGAACATGTTTCTAAAGCTTAGAGAAATCCAGATGTTGACAGCCTAGACAGCCTGTTACAGGAGATGGTTTTGCTTATCTCATATTTCGACCTTTCTTCACTATTGCTCTTCCTTGGTTTAAATTTGGTCTTCGTTGGAGGTGACTGTAATGTATTGTGTATTAGCTGAATTGTCCTGGGTGATGGTAAAGGTAGGGATACTAGCATCAAGCCTAAGAGGTTTGGAGCCAGATGGCCTACGTTCAAATCCCACCTCAGCCACTTTGTAGCTGTATGAACTTGAGCTAGTTAATGAATCCCTCTGCACCTTAGTCGTTCCAGCTGTGAAAAAGAAGACAACACTCATATCTGCCTCATAGGGTAGCTGCAAAGACTGAATTAATCCATAAGGCCACTGGAGTAGTGTTTGTGCAACCATGGGACAGTAGGAAGTCATGGTTGTTATTAGTGTGAGCAGGAGTTATGATAGCTGAAGAGGTAGTTCGATTGAGCACACAGATGCCGAAAATGCATGTTATTGAATGAGATGTAGGAATATGTGTGGAAACCATCTTTGGTTCATTAAATAATATCACCTTTAATTGCACTGGTTGATTAGAACAAGGCCGGAAATGAAAGGACATAAATCATGCAATGTGGCTAGACCACAGGAAAATATGGGCCCCTTCAAGGCAAAGTGAAAATATTTCAATGCAAGAAGCAAATAGGCCGATCTCTCCTTCCTCAAGCAGTGGTGAAGGGCGAATTAGTGCACTTCAGTGCACCTGTGTGAGTTTATCTGGGGAGGGAGGCAATGGGGAAGGTGTGGATGGTTGTCCTTTTATTCTCTGATCATGTATGTTGAGACACCTCCATGCACTAGGCACCTTGGGAGTTGCTACAAGAGGTCCCCAGATGAGCAGACTGCTGAGATATGGTTTCTTGCAAGGAGAGTGAGTGTGCATTAGTGCTGTCAAGTGAAAGTGGTACTTGGTCCAGGTTGGACTCTGGGGCCACGTACACTGAGTTCAAATCCCAACTCTGACTCTTACCAGCTGCAAGATCGTGGGCAAGTTTCTTAACTTCCTTGAATCCCAGTTTTCTCCTCTGTACAATGAAGAAGATAATGATCTTAATTCTGGTTGGTAGCTGCCGTCAAGTTGGTCCCCCACTCAGAGTGACCACATGCACAATGGGATTGAACCATTGTGATCCATAGGGTTTTCACTGGCTAATTTTTGGAACTAGATTGCCAGGCCTTTCTTCCTAGTCTGCCTTAGTCTGGAAGCTCTGCTTGAAACTTGTTCAGCATCATAGCAACAGACAGGCCTCCACTGATAGATACATGGTGGCTGTGCCTGAGGAGCACTGGCCTGGAATTGAACCCAGCCCTCCACATGGAAGGGAAGAATTCTACCACTGCATCACCACTGGCCTTGGTGATCATGATCACAGTAATATACAGCCATCCTTCAGTATCTGCAGGGAATTCGTTCCAGGGCCCACTTTCTTCTCCCCTCCCCTATAGCAAAATCCTCAGATGCTCAAGTCCCTTATATAAAATGGCATAGTATTTGCATATAACCTATATACGTCCTCCTGTACACTTTAAATCATCTCTAAAAAAATGAAACACAATCATTTCCATGGAGTTGGATCAGACCCATAGAGACCCCTCCTTGGGTTTTCAAGGCAGTATTACTACGGAAGTAGATTGCCCAACCTTCTTTCTGGGAAGTGGCTGGTGGGTTTGCACCACCACCCTTTTGGTTAGCAGTCAAGTGCCTTAGGCACTACGCTACCAGAGCTCCCTTAAATAATCTCTAGCTTACTTATAATACCTAATACAATGTAAATACTATTTAAATAGCACTTTACACTCTCTGTTGGCCTTTGCTTTGACCACTTAACTCTTTTTTTAGGAGCCATTTTTTTTCCCAAAAAATATTTTCAATAAGCTATTGGTTGAATGAATCCATAGTTGGTTGACTCTGGAACCCATGTGGACTGTATATTGCACAGTACTATCTCAGATGGGCAGTTCTAAAACAAGGGTTTATCTGGAAAAGTCAGGGACCTGGGAGTCTCCTGCCTCTGAGGATGTTCTGAGATTCACAGGATATATGTTGAGGGGGAAAGAACTTGAAGACAGTGTGGTTTCCAGAAGCAGCCATCAGTTCTTTCCTATGCCTGCTCCTTGGCCTGCACATAACAAAGAACCCAGGATGAGGAATGAGAAATACCTACTCTGTCTGTGTATCTTGACAGCAAACATTTCCTGCACAGAGATGAGGATTTGTTTCAGTAAACTTACCTACTACTGACTTCACCCTCTGTTTCATCATAGATCTGTATCCGTTCTCTTAAGTCATGCGCTGACTCACTACATTAAAAGCAGTGTGGATTTACTTTAATGAGACTATCTGGTGATCTAGGTTCTCTTTGTTCTTTGGGCCTATCTCTAAATGAACCTCTTGGAGAGAGAAAATACCTTGCTCTGTAACCCCCAGTCTTGAGCATTCATTTAACTCCTTGACTACTAACTGAAAGGTTGGCAGTTTGAACCCACCCAGATACACCTGGGAAGTCAGGCCTTGTGATCTGCTTCTGAAAGGCACAGCCTTTCAACTCTGCACACATGAGGTTGCCATGAGTAGGAATCCACTCCAGCAACTAACAACAACAAGAACAAGCCAAAAATGAGTACAATATCTGAAACTGCCACTAATCTTTTTAAGGTCACACAGTGTCCCGAATCTTCATTTTTGATACCTTGATTATCTGAAAAACTTTTTGCAGATTCTGAAAAGCATGTCACAGAGCAGGTTTTTGGAAAATCATTAATACGTAGACAAATGTTCAGGAGAAAAATGATCCAAGTTATAACCAAAACAATTTTGCCACCAAAAGTTGTAATAGATAATAAAATTACATAAATTGGAACTGGTCTAGATCCCTGGTGTATGTAAGTAATCCCTGGTGTATGTAAGTTGGCTGTTCCTGAGAGCTGATGAGCCTTCTGAAATCACTTTTAACTCAGGAAAAGAACCTGGAGGTTATTCAAGCTTGTCCCCTGAAGACTTTAACTCAATAACTTTCCATTACCATGATGGCTAGCATCACCCAGAAGGTTCTGGAAATAAAACAGAGAACATTACCCCATGTATGTAGGAACACAATGCTAGTAGTCACGCTTAAAGGTGGAACTTTGGAAATGGAGTCTGTCCCTAAAAAGAGCAACTGGAACGATTAAGGGGTTCAGAAAGGGTTAGGAGAGAAAGCACAGAGCCTGACTCAAAAAGAACAACAACATCAAAAATCATCTGAGATGGAGCCAGAACGGAGAGAATACTTAGATGGTTTGAACAAATCTCTTCATACTAGAAAGGCTGTATGTCTGACAGCTCAAAAGAGAGAAAGGAACATAAATAAAAGGAAGTGCCTTTTACATTACAGGTGGTAAGACTGGTAAGACTTGTCAAACTGCGCCATTCTTTAATCTAAAACTGTGAGACATTGAAAACCATAAACAAGTTTTAGAAGTATTCAAGCAAATGTTTGATTGTAGATCCACTGTGGTCAAGGAAATGTGGTAAGTTGCACTGATGACCCCAGTTTTTTGCCCTTCCCTGTTTCATGTCACTTTGCAGCCATTCCACTGAAGGGGATGCGACTCTGTCTTTCATTATGTGCCTTGCTCTGGCCAATGAGGCAGGCAGAGGCTTGCATGGACTTGAACGCTGAGGCTTGTCCTTTGCACCTCTGTCTTTGCTGTGAGAATGTGCCTGGCCTAGCCAGCTGAAGAATGAGAGACACGTGGGGGAGTTGCCTCAGCAGAAGCCAACCTCCAGAGTTGTAAGCAAGTCCAGCTATGATCAGTAGATCAGTAGAGCTACCTGCATGTACCAGGCATGTAGACCACAGACACTACACCACTGAGGGTTTTTGCTGCATGTTATGTCATATTATTGTAGGAATATAAAACTAACACAGGAAGGAAAATTTGGGATATAGGACATGTGTTTCTTCTCATTCTCAGTCGTGCCACATCAGCAAATGAAGTTCCAGAAAGCTTTATTCCATCCATGTCATTAAGGTTGACTCTGCTTTGAGGAGGCAGCTCTTCCCTACCTGAAGGGCTCATCTC